GGCTGTCAATAACCGCATTATCAACTATGTACGCATCTGAGGAGTTCACGACATTGCCTTTAAAATGTGTGTTTAATGTCGAGGTAATTGTAAACGTGGACATGGGTGTTGTTGATATTGCCGTTTTTGCCTAATGTGTACGTAATTATATATGTGACTTTTCACATGTTTGTTCGTAATTTATATGTACATACTTACAAACTTGTAACCACTAGCGGATACACTCATAACGTACACCATGTGAGTGAGTGTGGATGTGTATAGGTGTACATGTGTAGATACAGTAGACAGTATCTTCAAGTGTTAAGATGAATGTACATTAGTTTGGATATATATATATAAGTGTAGGTGAAAGTATATGGCATCGTGTACATGTGTAGAGATGGTGTGGGTACAAATGGATTTCTAAAATAACGACAACTCAGACAGAAAGTAATGGATGGCATAAATAAGGAAAACATAAATAAGAAAGTAGGAATGATTAATAAACTTAGCGTCTTACAAACAGCCATTACATGTTCAGAAGATATAACATGCACATTATAGAAAAAGAACCAAAAGAAGTTGTTAATGAGGTGAAAGCGCTATCCAAAAGATTATTCCTGTGGATATTGAATTCACCACAACTCAGATAGGAACAACACAGTTGGTTGTGTTGTGCCCAGAAATCCCGCAACAACCACATCTATTGACTTTGGTTTTTTTTTGGAACCTGCATAATGAGTTATAGGAAATTAGATAAGTATACAAAAACTGAGGGATATTGTGAGAATATACAATATTTATGAAGCAGTTTGTTAGCTATGATTTAGTTGTAACCTGGATTTTCCCTGTCGAAGCGATTCGCTTGTCCTTTGAACGGCCAGAAGGGCAACGGGTATTTGGAGGTTGTAGGTTGAGAGTAGAAATGGCTGAAGGGATTGAAATCTCCCCAAAGGATGACTTAGGGTAAATGACACCAGCATATATATCTTTCCATGTCTGCGTTTTGTAGCAGTCAGCAACAAATTTGACATGAGGGAGCCCGAGATAATCCGCAACAAGGAGTGCATGGCCACATGAGATTTTCAGTTTCTGGAAGACTTGGCAGGAACAAACTTTATTGTCCAGATAAACAGTGTAAGAATAGCCAAATACTCCCTTCACTTGGTAGTTCCAATCAGTGATGTTTGCGATTGATCTACCTTTGGTGAGCCTCATGTGTGTATCCATAACTTCAGCAACTTCAGGGGTGACAGCCCCCCCCCTGTATTTTGAGGACTTTGTTCTCCTAGCTGAGAACCAACGCGTTAGCATCCGTTGGATGAACATGAAAAGCTCGACAATTGGCAACGTTGCTGGTGAGGAGGTTGTATCGGTTGCCAGGAAAGTAAGTCCATGACCATTTAGTAGTGTCAATGTCTGTAAGGTATTTTTCACACGCTGGATTGGCTTGCCTTATTTTCCAAATTTGTTGTTGAAATCTTTGCGTTTAAAGGAAAAGGCAGCAGCACATACAAGTTTGGCGAGACCGTTATTCTTGTACCGAGAAACAACATTTCTCATTATATGCACAGTACATGTGCCATGGTGAGCTAGGGGGAAGACAATTTCCTTTGCTTTGAGAAGGGAAATGTGACGATCTAAAATAATAGTGAGAGTGTTAGAATCTGCAATAATCCTTTCAAGCTTGGTCAGAAACCAGACCCAAGAGCATCATTCTCAGCATCAATAACAGCAAAAGCAAGAGGGAAGACTTGGAAATTTGCATCTTGACCACTAGCAGTTAGGAGGATGCCTTTGTATTTTCCTGAGAGATACGTGCCATCAATTATGAGAAAAGGTCTGAGACGACGAAATCCCTGAATTGAAGCACTGAAAGAGAGGAAGCCATAGAGGAACCGAGATTGACCAAAAACATCAAGTTCTGTTTCTATAGAGGTTACCGTGCAGGGTTTGGTATGTTTCAGCCTCTCGAAGTAGTCGGCAAGGTTAAGATATGAATCCTCTGTGTTGCCAACAGTGATGTCAACAGCTTGTTCTTTGGCCCTGTGGCATTTCAGGTATGAGGCAGAGACACACAAGTCCTCCAACAAAAGCTGCTGGAGCTGCACATCTTTGGGACCACTGGTGGGTTCACTGTAGCGGGAACGGTATATATGAGCTATGACCTTTGACGTGGCCTTAGCCTTGTATTTATCACGCAGGTCTAAAGCGCATGAGTGGCTTAGGTGGGCCTTCTTGATAGTGTAGTAGCCACAGTTTGTGAGCTCTTTTGCTAGTATGCGTCAATCACAGTGCGTGTTGTGGCAACTTAGAACAAAAGAATCCCTTGTTGTTCGGGTTTGTTTGAAATGAAAGCGCTTCTTTATGCGTAGATAGCTAAGGAAATCTGACAATCTATTTTGGTGGCGTAGATCTTTCCAACAAAAGGGTCACCATCGGTATCATCTAAGTTTAAATCTGGTACATCTTCTGCCTCATAAAAAAGATCGTCAAAAAGCAGAGGGGTATCAAATTCCTCATCGCTGATCTAAGATGGAGGCCTGGTCTCCCGTGGTAGTGGAGTAGCAGGAGCATGTTGGTGGGACATGGGTGTTGGCGGTGAACGAGTGGAAGGGACTCCGTCATGTGTTCGGGGGACGATGAACCTTTACATACACTATCGGCTGTTTGAGGGGCGCCAGACTGTGGTGTACGTGTGGACGACCCTGGTTGTCCACGTTGATATGGCGTACGGTTATCTTTAATTGGTGTACGCGTGTACGAACCACCAGCGTGTATTGGTGGGCCTTCTTTCTGATGTACACCAATAAAATCGAGGTCTTTCTTCCAATATATATCATCTTCACCTGAAACACGAACTTTATGATCAAAGGCATCTCTTGTGGTACAAGCATATGTCTCTGGGGCTGTTTTGGGAACATGAATCCCTGCCATAATATCAGGTGCATCGGATCCACCAAGTGTGTCTTCCAACAATGGATCCCAGAAGTCATGGTCGTACCCACGAATCGGGACAGGTTCAATGACTGGTGGTTGAGAATTATCAGTTCCACTGTCCTCTTCATCGTCAATAATCCAGGCATCAGGGATGTTTTCGGGGTCATGGTTGAACACGTCTTCAAACATCTTATCTCCACATGAAAGAGTTTCGTCTTCGATGGAAACGCGTTTGGTTTTTGAACGTTGGGTAGAAGGACATGGGTCGCAAGAATGAAGACCGATATTCTCCTTAGGAGGGTGAAGGACATGGGTGGGCATGTCTTTGAGTAGTTCGTATTCATCAAATAGGGAAAAGCTGGGGTTTTTCGACGAACCAGTTGAGGCGGGGCGAAAAGAGCATAAGTTTGGCTTTATAGGTTGGTTAGGGGTTGAGAAACGTAGAAGATTCTGGTCGGTAGAGGGTGGTTCCGGTGGGTCTACTTTCGTATCAAAGGTGACAAAGAGATTCATGGTTGGATGAACTGCTAAGTGATTGAAGAAATATGAGACAGCTCCGTCGTTGGTCAATAAAATCGGTGGAGTAGTAAGTCCCGTCGCGAGCTCCTTTGTATTAGGAGGCCAGTAACTGAGAACAGAGATCGGAGGAGGGTCCATGAAAGTAAAGAACTCTTTTGCGACATTGTTTTGTAGTTGAACCAAAGTCATGCCAGTGAGAACAAGGACTATCCGAGACATTTTTTTCTTATCGATATCAAATTCCCAGAGAGAGCCGACGGTGGTCCATTCTTCGGGGATGACCATGCAATGGTCGACCATGGTAATCTGCGAAATAATAAGAACACGGATTAATGGATGATCGATTAGGTTAATTGTGAGTTAGAAAACAAACCTTTTTTTAAAAGCTATAAATCGGAGTATTGTGAAGATTTACAGAAGAACCGTAACAAATTGGAAAATGAGCTGGGAAGAAGACTTTATCAAACAAATCAATCTCCACCTTTAAAATAATAGGTGTAACTAATCCAATGGTTTATAAAAGATACAGATATATGTCTAATCTATAACACAAAATAAGTCTGTAACGTTGGATGGCAAATAAATGAAGGGCTGAGGTTTATTCCCGCTAAAACAAATTCTCTACTTACTGTTAGCTAACTACAAAGTTTCCAATTATGAAACAAAGTGGAAAAAGTTAAGATAAACTACCTAGGTAGTACAACCTGCCTCTTTATATATTAGAAACATGAAACTGTCCTAGAGTGATAATATTTCTGTAAATGACATAAATTTTTGAATAATTTAATCATGATTCCAACTCATGATACAAAATATAATACTCTGTATTGATCGATTTTACATATAATATGTTTTACTATCCTGATATAAATGAAAATAAGATTAAATTAATATTCATTAGCTTGATAATCTTTTATTTAACTCGTTAGAGTTTGTGTTCATTGTCTGTAAAATTCATCATTAAATTATTTTTACTGATTCGTTTTTAAGATTTGAGTGTATATATATATATCACCTGGTATGTATTCTCCTTAAAATATCATATTAATTTCATAACCATTTCTTAATATAACTTACTATAATTGGTCTAAGTATATAGATCCATGTTAAATGATTTTAGTTTGCTTTTATTTCTGTATACAGTATTTACTTGTCTTGCCTTGTATAATTTATAAAGCTTCTCAACTTATTCACATATACCAATTTGTGACAAGAATAAATATTATGGTATATTATGGTATATTATGGTTATCCATTTTTGTGAACGCTTAGAACATTCTTTAATTTTTTGTTCACTTTCACTTCATCTTTTAGAAAGTTAGAGATGCAGCTCAAAATATGAAGCACTTGATGTAAAACAGTCTTTTGTTTGAATTTAATTTCACATTCATTCAAAAAATATAATTATGGTATATCTCTGTACTAGAAAATATTAATTTAAAGCACAACATTTCCTTCTCTACAATCAAAAGCTTCACCAAAAGTGTTAACTGAGAGAGGAGTGGAGTCTTTACAGAAAAAAAAAAAAACTCGTCGGAGAATAAAAAAAAAAGAAGAAGATGTCGTGGCAATCGTACGTTGATGACCACCTTATGTGCGATGTCGAAGGAAACCACCTCACCGCCGCCGCTATTCTCGGCCAAGACGGCAGTGTCTGGGCTCAAACCGCCAACTTCCCTCAGGTTTCTTCTTTTCTCTCCGCCTTCTCTGATCCCTCGTTCACTCGGATCTGATTTCGATCCCACCATCTCCGTTCAGGACTCTGAAGAAAAATTGCTATTTGTGTTTATATCAACAGAGTTGAAACGTAGTTAAACGTAGCTTCCATAGAAGATCCATGGGGTTTAAAAGTAAATGATGAATACAGTCTATTCTTTGAAATGTTTTTTTCAGTTGAAGCCTGAAGAGATCAATGGAATCAGCAAGGATTTTGATGAGCCTGGGACTCTTGCCCCAACGGGTCTATTTCTTGGTGGTGTGAAATACATGGTTATTCAAGGTGAACCAGGAGCTGTGATCCGAGGGAAGAAGGTAACTCATTCTTATCGATAAACCCTTGCTTGTATAGATCTTATGATAGAGAACTCATTTTACAATCTGTAGGGACCTGGAGGCGTTACTATCAAGAAGACGAATCAAGCCTTGGTCATTGGTATCTACGAGGAGCCCATGACTGGAGGTCAATGCAATTTGGTTGTTGAAAGGCTTGGGGATTACCTCATCGAGTCTGAACTCTAAACTGTGGTCATCAATTTCTGCTTATGCCACTGCCTATTTCAATTGTAATTCATTGTAACAACACAATCGATTTGATACGGTTTGTATTTGTTGTTTTGTAATGGCATTTGATAATTATCTTTGTTGGCTTTTTCGATTTTTGTTCCTTCATAATTTTTATTTTTTTAATACAATGTCACACAAAGAACCCTTGAATATTCAAATGCAAGTTAGATGAATTTACGTAGACGATGTAAACTGGAGAAAATGATTTCTTGATTCAAAAATATGCAGGATAAACTTAAACAAACGATGTAAATAGATAGTGACACCTCTGGACAGATTCTTCGTAGGGGTACGAAAGTTGACTCAAAGACTGACAATTTACCTTTACAATTATGAGAGGCTGGCTCAAGGATTTGCAATACTTTCATTTGGCACTAATTCAGTTTACTAACGGGGTGACAATCTATTTCTCTCTCAAAACTTTTATATCGCACTGTATCCCCATAAACTTTGGTCGTCATCCTATTTCCCCCTAAAACAAAAGTTTGAGATGTATATCTCCATACCGTTGAAATTGTTGGTTAATCTCCTTGAACCAGACAAAGACCAATTTCTTCTCAAACCAAACCATTTGTAAACCAAATTGAACAAAAATGGTTATCTATGACCCGACCCGAGATTCCTTTTATGTTTACGCCAAATCCGACATAAGTGACGACAAACCCTAAAAATCAATTTGAGAAAACTGATATCTGGAGAAATTGGAGAAACGTGAGGAAGAACACAAAGGATGAACAATGTGTCTGGAAACTCGAGTGGGTCATCAAGGAGGAGGTCAAGAGTTGTTGGTGTGCCAAAGAAATTTTGGTGTGGCTTTGATATTCTACCAAAGATGTCAAATTCAGTGAACAATCCATACCGACGTTACTATCGATGTGGCTATGCTGTAGCAAAAAAGGTAATCTGACTCTAAATCTAAAATAAGAAACAATTTCGATGTGCATATTCTCTGTATGTTGTTGTTTTTTTTTTCTCATTGCTATTCGATTCTCTGTTTATAGCTAGAAAATGATGACCATGCTTTCAAGTGGGTTGATGAAGGGTTACTAGAGGAGGTAGAGACATTACAGAGAAAATTAGGAAGACTTGAAGAAATGGTCACAAAAATTCTTGAAGAACGTGAACAAGATGAGAAGAAGGCATTTGAGAGGTTGGAAATGAAGCTAGAAAAAGAGATATTTGAGAGAGTTGAGGCTGCATTGGTGGAGTCGAAAGAGAGTGTGAAATGAATGTGTATTATTGTCGCAATTGGCTGTGTGATTTCGATTGCTCTCATGAAATTTGTAGGTTGAGTTTCATGTTTCAACTTCTTTGTTTTGTGGTTGTGTGCTATCTTTTATGTTGAACTTTGTTTTGTAGTAATGAAATGGTTATTGGTGTTACAAATTTAAAGGTTTTCTTAGATATATGAAAGTTTGAAAAACTAAATTTAAGAGGTTCAAAGATTTATAGCAACATCCTGAAACACATACAAAAGGTGCGAAAGAAACATAAAAATCAACATCCTGAAACACATACAAAAGATGAGAAAGACATAAACATAAAAACCAACTTATGCACTCTCTCTTCTACTACTTGAACCAAGCTCCTAGATCTCTTGAGTAAGTGAACCTTGGGAAGGCTCCATTTGCGATGTCCCCTCTTTCTTACCCTGTAACAAACATAAAAAAAAAGTATCAAAATTGATACAAGTCCAAAGAAGCATAAAGAATAGCATACCTTTTTGTGGAACCGAGAGTTGTGGTTTGCTTCACCACAAATTTGACAATGCATTACTCGCTTAAGAATTTTAGCTTTCTTTTTCACCGGTGATTCATTAACACCCTTCTTCCTCTTGTCCTTCGTATTCTTCTTTTTGCGGCAAGGTTGATTAGGCTCGGGGGCAGGATGAACTGATGGAGCTGATGAAGTTGGCCAGAACCGTGCTCCTCTAATTGGTGTTATACCCTCTTCATAATTCTTTCTTCACATTGCTGTCCGAAACCAGTGACATACATAGTCTTGAGCTTCTAGTTTTCTATGGAGTATTACACCATAACCATGCTCAGATGGGATCCCGTGATATCCCATTTCAAGCAACTACATGATCTCTTCTCCAAGCTAACCCGAAAATAACATCCTTCAAGTTTCACTAACCACATATTATTTGTGCTTCTATGAACCACACACTCCGCAGCCTTCTTATGCTCCTCTTGAAGATATTCAATCACATAAGGTGTACATATGTGTTTGTGGCTGGTAGCTTTGACATCTCTAGCAGCTATACGGACCATCGCCAGATGCGCTACTGTTTCTAACATTGGCACTAAAGGTAATCAACCAAAAACCCTCAAAATCCCCTCTCAATTTTATAGATACAGTGATTTTTTTTTTGTTTTTAGGGTTCGTTCTTAAAGTATCGTTTTAGGGAGATGAAGAAAGAACCCGGACATTAAAAATAGGGTAATCGGGTTTTAATTGACGGTTTAATGGATTTTTTTGGTTTAATCGAGTGTGTAATTGGTTATAGGATGATTAGGTTTAATTTATATACAGTAAACCAAAAGTAGTTAGCCGGCACTGTGTGTTATTAGATTTCAAACTTTCGATTTATGGGGAAATACGTCACGAACTTTAACTTTAGGGGGATATAAGACGACGGGCAAAGTTTATGAAGATACAGTGCGATACAATAGTTTGGAGGGGGAAATAGCTCGTCACTCCTTTACTAACCCAAGAAACTATGTTTTATAATCCAAGGAGAAACACAAATCAAACTGACAACATCCATTGACTCATTACCATACCCGAACTAAAACGAAACGCATTATCAAAACATCAAATAATCCGAGGGAAAAAATCAGAAGTCTTGGTTTGTCTACTTCTCTGATGAGTTTGGTCCTCTCTTCTTGCCAAAGCCAACAACTGAGAAACAACACAAATAAAAGCAAAAATATGAATCAAACTGTAAGTTCAGTTGTAGAAATAAAACTTTTTGATGCAATTTCACATTTACCAAGAAAAAAAAAGAAAAACAAAATGTAGAGTGGAATCAATGAAAGAAAATGTGTGTTTAATTTTCACAAACTAGTATATGCATCGAATGGTAGTGTATTATACCACCCTAGATTAAAAAAATACAGAAAATGTTGAATGCTTGGCACAGGATTTGCAGAAGAATCTAAAATGGAATTGAAAATCAAACACAAATCCATCATCCGAAACTATTATCTCCATCTAATATTAGCGATTTTGAAACAGAAATGACAAATCACAGGTCCAACGATGTTAAGATGAGATAAGGGACGTAAGAAGGTTCAATAAAATTCTAATTCAAATTCAGAGAGTAATCTCAACCTAATGAAAACGGTAGTTCTCGCTGCACAAATATCAAAATGATCGATCTAAAGAATCCTCTATGGTATACATGAAATCCGGGGCAGAAGTAATTACCGGCGGTGACGAAACGGCGGTTGTGTTGCAGTCTCTTGTGAGCACGGCCACGAGGCTTCTTCTTCTTGTCCTGCTTTGCCACTTTCGGTGTCTGACCTCTCACCTTCCCCGCACGAGCCAATGAACCGTGTACCTTTCCTGCGATTGATTATGGCACGGAATCAGCAACATTTCTAAAGAGAGTCATTATTTATATATCAAGGAAACAACAAGTCGAGGAGAATCACCCATTGTCGACTAAAGAGAATCTTCTTGGCTTCTCTGGCTCTGCTGTTGGAGACGACGACGGCGCTAGGTCACACTCTTTGAGGGTTACGAATTCACTGTTGTTTATATATTTTAGTCGTTTGAAGAGCCTATATGGGTCCTGTTGGATTTCAAATGGGCCTTTAAAGAACCAATTGTGTATCGACACCAAAACCAGTTTAGGTTCCAAATTTTATCAGCTTTTGGTTCGAGGTTTTTTACAATCGAACCGGACTTTGCCCGTTCGCCCGGGAACATTAACTGTACAGTCAAAACCGGCAAAAACCTTCTTGAATCGGTTAATTCGATCTATGCATTAATGAATCAGCTTGTCTTGGGGATTCTAGGGTTCCCTCGTATAGCATTGCTTGAGTTTCAAGTTTTGTTAAGTTCAATATATTAATCAACTTCTATTAAGATTCATAAGGCCAAACCGTAACAGATATTGCAAAAAGGTATGGTACAGACTCTCAAAGAAAGATAACAAATAGATAAACTCATATCTCTTCTCCAGAACTTAAAAGAATACCGAAATAAATTACCGAAATGGTTAATTAATCAAAACAAGCAAAAGTCTTTTCACTTTCTGTCTTTCATCTAAAGATTCAACGAAAAAAAGCTGCAACAATACTCTTAAAGATAAGGGTTTGTGTCTCTGAGTACATCACCATATTTTGTTTTACTCGTCTTCATCGATGACCTTGGTGCCCAAACCAGACAATCCTTCGGCTGGAATCTCAGCGACAGTGACAAGAGAGTAAAACTCTTCCTTGGCATCTTCATCATCGTTTCTCTTACGAGCAACACGGACTCTGACTCTCCTAGGAGGACCACGGATACCTCTGCTCCATATCTGCTTGTTGAGCTTGACATCTACTCTTACGTCCTTGGTTCCCATTGCTTTCAATGCAAACTTCCTGATCTCTTTGATGGCATTCGGTGCCTTCTTCTTGAATGTGCTGTTGGATACATTGTCAAATCAGATTAATTACTTATCTATTTCAAAAACAGAAATTCTAATGATGAAAACTAACAAATGAAATGTACCAGATTTACTAGATAACACTCAAGTATGAAGATGAATTATCATGATCATTACTCATCTACACACTAAGATTCTTCTTCTACAAAACCTTCTAGAAAAGTTATCAACTTTTTGTTTTGTATTCGAACGTGACCAAATAGCTCATTATAAGTATGTCAAATTCTAAAAGATAAAATGTAACTGAACTCAAAGATAAGCATGAAATGTAATATTTTTCATCATCAGACATAACCAATGCACAGTAGTAACCACACTAGAAGCATTTTTGAATCCGAGTAACGCTATAAACTCTTCACTAATCAAGAAACCCTAAATCGAATCGAAAGGCGTTCACATTTCAATATGAACAATTCTAATCTTAGGTTTACCAGCTATGGAGGCGCCTGTGGAGATTGATAGTGTACTCCCTGGTCACGATCTCCTCCTTTCTTCCCTTTCCTTTCTCCATTTTCCTCAGATCTCTGTTCTCTCTCTCTCTCTCTTCAGAATGGAGTTGGAGACGGCACAGAGAGAGAAGATTAAAGCCAGGGTAAGAAACCCTAATATAAAGCTTCCGTTATGTTATTTATATTATTTGGGCCAAAATAAAGTCTGATGGGCTTCAGATATGCCAAGTCAGATAGTCCATTCTCATCTTTGTTCTTGTAACGTTTTAGTTGGGATTCTTACATTTTGTGTGTTTTGAGTTTTAAGAATCCCGACTAATATTTGATTGTTCTTAATATTTTGATCAGTTTTTGAGATCTCATCTCATACTTGTAAGAGCCTTTTTTTGTACTTCAATACAATTGCATTTGGAAAGCAAGCATTATCATTATTTACCTTTGCACCGAAACAGACAAGTTCGTTGGACTAGAACAATTGAGGTTTTATCAAGTTTGTTGATTTGATAAGATAGATCTAACAAAAACACACAAGACACATAATAAAATCTTCCAAGTTCTTTTGAAAAAGGATAATGAAAAGGAGCAGTGTTATACGATTCAACAAAAACAAAACAACTTAAGATAAAACATGTCCAGCAAAATCTTTTACTTCCAAAAAACATATCCTGGAAAAAGCTTAAGCTTGACGGTTTCTTTGCTTGGCACCAGACTTGGCAACCCTAATGCTTTTGCTGATGACACTGAGTCTAGCAAGAGCGAACTTCTTCAAGTCTGGCCTGTAGTAGTTGTCAACCACCTGAACGAATTTCACACAATAACCCGGTTACAACTAAATTTATACATGTAAAGCCATGATGATTAGGCAATATTAAATGTCTGGATGAGACGATATACACAAAAGATGAGAATAACAGATTCGATACGCAAATGCGAAAACCCTATTGTCATAATTCATCTAACATTGGAAACTTAATGATCTTCCTACAGAAAATAAGCAAATATTCATGCCATGTTACCATCAGATATATACATGAACTGCAGATAAAGAGTATTGACAACAGAACCATTGACAAGTATTAATTAAAACCCAACTAGCACTGAGTAAAGGCATAGACAAAGAAACAAACATCAAAAGTAGTAGAGATACACATACCTGGTTAGCAACAGCCTTGGACATCCTGGGGAATTCCTTCTTCAAGATAGACTTGTTGACAGAGACCTTAGGCTTGTTCTGCTTCTTGGTCTTGGTGGTGGCGAGGACAACACCTTGTTCCTTGTCAGCTGGCTGGATGGTCACAGTCTTCTTGTTCGCAAGACCTGAATCCACGACCAAAGATTTTGAGACATAAGTCCACTTAAAGCAAGAAGTCAACTCATTTCATATATTAGAGAATCCAGAGACAAACCCATCAAGTAACCACATTTCTCATTCAGACACAACACAATCATTCAATAGTATGACTAGTCTAACAAAAGCATCCAATTTCAACACAATCATCATATATTCAACAAGCAAAGATCACTCTCATAAAATTACCAGAGTGCTTGTAGGAGTTAAGGTTGCAGAGATTATTCGTCTCTTTGCTGAACTGAACCTTAGCGTTGCCTCTTCCGAACTGTTTGACCAAGAAACAGTTGTTGGTCTTAACAATCTCCCATATCAATTGCCCTGGAACTGTCGCCATTTCCAAAACCTGAAACAAACCAAAATAGAAATGATACTAAACATCAACACTACAGACATGAACAGATCGATGTAAGAGCACGCCTAATCACAAGATCTTATCAAATCAGAACCCTAATGCTACAAAATTCAAGACAGATCTAACCAGGCAAGGATATTGAACGAAGAACAATTAAGAGATGATCTATAGACTCACCGTGAAATATCGCAGATAGAGATAGTGAGAAAGCTAGACTCGTGTGTATTTGGTGGCGCCGGAGCTTGGTAAAAGACGAACGACTCTTTATATATGATGACACTCTAAAACAATACCCTAATTCATGTTACTAACTGAAAGTCTATATTACCCCTAAACACTATTTAAATATCGAGAATGCCACTACAATCGAGACAACATATTATGTTAGTACATAAATAAAATAATACTAGGTGTTTTGTCCGCACTTGCGAGCATAATTCTTTTATAAATATTTATTAGTTGATGTTTCATTAATTTAAAAATCAGCATAATAATTTATTTTTTATGTTTTCCAAAAATAAAAATCAAACATCAAATAATTATTAATGACAAAACTCAAAATTCAGAAATATTTAAAAGAATATATTTCTATAATTATTTTGCTTGATTTATATTTAATTATAATATTTAAACAAATTTTTTACTTAATTTATATTTAATTTTAATTTTTATATCTTAATTTTAATTTTATAATAGAAAACATAGTTTAAAGATAACAATATAATGCATAAGTAATTTATTTTTAAAAATATAATATGATAATTTTTTAATTATACAAGATTTTAAAAATTATAACATATAATTAAAATTACCTAAAATCATGGAGAACTTAATAAATCAGCAAATTCACTTCTAAAATAATTTTTCTTGGGTGATAATTTATTTTTAATTAATAATAGATAATTTTTCTATTTTACTTTTAAATTATATAATATAAAAGTATATTTTCAAGATAACAACATAATACATAAGAATAATTACAACTTTTTATATCTTAATTTTAAATTTATAATACAAAAATATATTTTCAAGATAACAACTTAGTACATAAGAAATATCTTATTTTCTAAGAATCTGATACCATTAATATAAATTTCTTTTAAATATATAATAAATTATATATAAAATTATAGAAATTATGATAAATTATCAAAATTACTTAAAATCATGGAAAATATGAAAATCAGCAAACATCAAATTCACTTCTTAAATAATAGTATAGATTTTTACATGTTAATTTTAAATTTTATAATAGAAAAAATATTTTCAAGATAATAATACATAAGAATTAAATTATTCTCTAAAATATAAATTTAATTATTAATAATATAATTTTATATTTAATTTTAAGTTTTATAATTAAATATATTTTCAACATAACAACATAATACATAAGAATTATCTTTTTAAGTTTTATATAAAAATATATTTCTAGATAATAAGATAATTCTTAAAATATATTTCTAGATAACAACATAATTCACAAGAATTATCTTATTTTCTAAAATATGATATATTCATATAAATTTGTTTTATTTATAAATAAATTATATATAATATTATAAATATGATAAATAAACAAAATTACCTAAACTTATGGAGAACATGATAAGTAAGCAAATTTACATTTTAAATAAAAGTATAGATATGCGAATAAGTATAACAAAAATTAGATATAATTGGTAAAAAAAAAAAAATTGTCATAGAAGAAATAACTAAAATAGCACTAAAAAAGTTTTGTCACAAATATAGCACTTAAGAACAAAATTGACCAAAATAGCATTTAATGTTTTATCAAAAGAGATAAATATACACCTATATTCTAATGATAAATTAATTTAGACATTAGGATTAAGGAGTGGGATTTAGGGTTTAGGGTTTAGATTTTATGGTTTAGAGTTTAGAATTTAGGTTTTAGGGTTTAGAGTTGGGAGTGAGGTTTTGGCGATAAGATTTTAATTTTTGAAATATAAAAAAAAAATTAAAACTTTCAGAAGATTAAAATGATATTTTGGTCATTTTAGTTTTTGAAGGCTATTTTTGTGACATAAACTTAAAAATGTGCTATTTTAGAGATTTGATATTTGTCATATATCTCAAATTTGAGTCTTGGAAAAAAACTAATAAACAAATGTATATGTATTACTTTTAGATCTAGTTACATATATAAAATATAAAATGATACTTCTACAAAACTAGATTATTAAATATATAAAAATATTTAATAGCTTAGGTCATAAACACTTGTGGTAGCTTTTCAAAGAATCGATCTGCCAAATAATATGCACGGGAATATTAAAAGTCCATCATGTCAGGACACACAACAATAACTTTTTTGCAATTATTATCTAACTAGATACTGTGTTCAAAAAAAAAAAAAAAATCTAACTAGATACTAGTGAATTTTTTATATTAATACTAGTTGCATACCCCCGCGCAAGCGCGGAGCCGGAATTATTATGTTTGCGTTTATTTTTTTCGATTTAGTGGTTTAGTGGATTCTTCTAATGACACCAAATAATGAAATGGAAAGAATATAGTAAGAGTATAAAGTGAAAATATTGTATATTTAATGTGTTAAATGTTATTTATATGCGAAGTAAGGTTTATAGGAACAGTTAGGTTATAATATAGTTTTTAGTGTGTAAAAATAGGTGTCTATTTTTTTTTTTGCTGTAAATAGTTTTTATATTCTATGTCAAAACTTGATATAATTCTATATTTATAGTATTTATATTTGTATTAAACGATTTATCAATTTGAAAATAACCTTAATTAAGTTAACATTCGTTATTTAAGTTTCATTAGATAGGTTTTTATATTTGATTTTTTGTAAGCTTGAGTTTTGTTCATAAATGATGTGGCTTTTTTATTTATGGCATCATCGACTCTGGTCGTGGGAATCCATTCGCCGGAGTGAAATCGGTGGTGAGGAATGTTTTCAATGAAATTATAGTAGTTATTCAAATGTAAGAGAAATTACATATTCATTAAATAAATAACAAAAATAATTAATTTTTGTTGTTTTTCTTATTTTATCTCACATACAATTTTTTTGAAAATATATATTAGGAAACATGTGCAATGATTTCACTTTTTGAGCTCTTAATCTATATTATTCAAGCCTCATTAAGCCATCCACGTAGGTAGCCGCGTGGGATTTACTTCTTTTTTTTGGTCGGTTCGTTTTTGGATTCATTTTTTATTATTTTTGGGTTGAACTATATTATAATAGGATAGTTTAAGGCTCTTTAAGCCATCCGCGTGAGACTTGTTTTTTTTTGTTTTTTTATTGTTCGTTTTTGCATCCATTTTTAACTATTTTTGGTTTGAACTCGTTAAGCTTTAGGGTTTATCCAACTATTTTGATATTTAAAACAATAAGCCATAAAAAAAACATAAAAACCTTACAAACAAAAAGCCTATATGATAATAACCCAAATAATAAAAAAAAATGATGGATGCGTGGTTTGAACCCACAATCTTGCATGTTTAATTAAACACCTTATACCATTTGGCTAAAGTGTATTTCATTGTTTGTAATCATCTTACCAAGACTATAAGTTTTTAAAAAATACCTACGGGACCCACAAAACTGCTGACGTGGCGCATTGTGGAGCCTAGAAAGTGTACTATTATAATATAGATTTGTTCAGTTTTACCATTTAGTAATATTATAATCTTTATTGATTATAAAATGACGAATATAAATGTTGGTCTCTTACATATATTATATGTCTGGGCATTCGAGGATCCATCGGTTTTGGTTCGATTGATTCAGATTTTCGAATTTTTGGTATTATGCTTTTTAGACCCATTAAGATTTCACTAATTATTGGATCAGTTTCGGTTCGGTTCCTTCCAGATTCGGTTTGGATTGGATTGTAACCAAAAGCTGAAGTCATCCCAAAAAATATTTTTGAAACCTCAAAATTGACAAAAAAAATGTTAAAATATTTAAATTATTCGTAAAATCTAATCTAAAATTAGTTAAACTATCTAAACTAACTAAATGATATTCAAAATAAAAAATAAAACAAACTACAAAAACTTTTGAATACAATAAATATCTAGATTACCTTGATATGTAAAAAAAAATTAAGATATTATACCAATTTCAGTATCTTTGAACCTAGTTCGGATTTCGGTTTTGTTCAGATTATAACCAAATCCCAAAGTACTAAGATCATAAATCTTATTCGGATAAATTATAATAGCTACATTGCGTATTACAGAGAAATAAATATTAGACGAATGATCAAATCTCTATTCTTTGAACAAACTCAAAAGGATGTGACTGGACTTGTCATGATATTTTATTAAAAGCTTTTTAGAAATAAATATCAAGGATAAATTATTTAATTTGAATGAAATAATATATATATATATATATATATAGTTCTTCCAATATTAAAAATCACTTTGATTTGAAGAAGTGTAATTATCGAATTGTTAGGATCAAATAACATATTAGAAACTAACTATTTAAAAATTATTTTTTATATATTAGAATAAGCACATAATACTAAAACTAATACCTTTTGTTAATTTACAATCATGTTTTTGGTAAATAAATCAAAAAACCATTTTATTTACTTTATATTGTATATAATTAAATGTTATTGATATTCTCATATATATATTATATTTAATTTGTATTTATTATTGACACTTTCTACTCATATGATTTTATTAACATTTGTATATTTTTCTCTAACAAAAATTTAAATAAAACACAAAACAATTTATGTGAGATTGTTCCAATACGAATTCCAAAATTAAAATATTAATATCTCAATAAATGTTCATTGCAAATCTTGAAATTAAAATATTTATATTTTATATATAGTGTATAATTTAATTTAAATGATATATATATATATATATTTATAATATGAATATCTATTACTGAGTCTTCATATTCAAATGATTTATAATCATTTGCATCTTGCTTGAACAAAAAAACGTTAAACTATTGATCAAAATATTTTAATGTGAGAGTTTTACCATTTTTAGTAATTTATAATCGTTAAAAAAATCTAAATTATCTACTTAATTTGATTTTTCAATTATTTTTAATAATATAAAATTAAACAAAAAGAGAAAGGATACAAAAATTGTTATCAAATATGTATTATTCATAATCTTTAATTGTCATATATATGTTAATCATATTAGGTAATTCTACAGCTTTTATTTAAGAAAGAAAAAAACTATTCTTTTATACACTAATAACC